CACTGCCTTTGAAGTTTGAATCATACCGTGTATGTACCTATCGTATTCCCACAAAAAGTTTCTACACTGCAGACTGAATTTTTTAGTGATCAGTATGGCAGTTATAACCTTTACGATTTGCGGCAAATTCTAAGACATGAAAATAATGTCACCCTGCATGATAGGATCTTTTTTACAGGATTACGGTAGGATTATGGTATGGGGTCAAATCTTAAAAATTTCTATAAATCTGCACTAGGGTATCTATCACGAAAACTTATAGTATAACTACTTTAACCAAACACAAAAAGTTCCTACCGCGGATAGACTTTCATTTTGTTATTAGCATAATTACCTTAGGACAATTCTTTGATATGATTCTGCACTAGTTCTCATATGAATAGCAAAGTAACAATTTAAAATGGGTCTTACCTGAGTGTATATGACATCAGGTTGAAGTGGACGATAATGCGCCGGTGGCCCGAATTCCTCGACTCGTGCCGGCATTACGAGTGGGACCTGAAGTGGGGAACATTATCCCTCGTAGCTCCTTCAGCCAGCCCCCGTGAAGAAATTCTCTGGCTTACCTGTGAAGAATACTGTTGTGGGGCTACATTACCCATTGGCGATTGGGCAGCTGATCCTCGCGGGGCAAAGCTGAAAGTGCATTTGTGAACTATAAGCTCCGCCCACATCTCCTAAATTTGTGTAAAAACATACTCGTAGCTTTGTTGTGGTGGTGTAGGAGCTGTCAGAACAGCTGTAGTAGGAGCAGCTCGATAAGGAGCACTGCTGTATGATGGAGCTTGTTGTCCTGGCCATGCTGCAGAATTTCGACCAGAATGTAGACGTTTTTTGTCGTCATCTCGCATCTGAAATGGGGAAATTTACAAGTTGGGTGCATTTTCTACAGAAAAAATAGTTTATTTGACCATTACCATGATTGCTAGGCCCCATCTACGTCCACGCCCACTCTGACACTTTTGCCTCATGTCACCTTCTTTAGTAATGTCATTGAATTTACTGTGTAGATATACCACGCTATTTCCCTTCAGGTCGTAAAGTCACGTCATTCTTAACCTGATATGTGCAATTGCACACAATATGCACTTTGCGCGTAGAAACACTGTTTTGCTAACAAAGGAAATACTTATCATTC